CAATCTCAAACGCGAGACTCATGTTTGCCTCGGAGCTTCAAAAGTGATGATCTATGATATTATCCCTTGATCGGTATGAATTGAATTGAATTACCGAAATAGCAGACACGCATATGTTACAGTTTCTAGCGTACTTCTTCCAACACGCTAATTTCTTATTTAGTGCCATGATGTAGTTTCATCGCTTTCGCATTATATCAAATAGTACAAAAAGCAAAGTTCGGTTTGGCAAAGATGTGTTATACACAGATATGCTGACAATGAAGTCTGTACTAATGATCTGTAGCTCTTCCAGGCAGAACTTGTGTTGTCCAGAACATCCCGCAAATGCTGTCACTTCGTAAAGGGGGCTTCTTCAAATAAATTCGGAAACAGCAGGAGATTATCTGTTTAAGGTTCATCGAGAGCTCGAAGGCTTCTGAAACACTGATTCAAGGGAAAACTTATGATTAGGCAAAGCATGTTCTTTGACTATATACTTATGATAACACGTGTCGTTCAAAAGGCTCCACCTTCGATCAAATTATTGTAAATAGTTAATGTTATATATAATTATAGAAATATGTTCAATAGCGTAAGCATTACAACAGTGCTATTTGGTCGCTAAAGAGCTAAGAATAGCAATTTACTGATGCCACCGCACAAACATTTACCGTGACCCGTCCTACACAGTAGTGTTATTCGCAGTTTACTCATTTGAAATACGCTTTGTTTCCATTTCGATCTGGTTTCCTCATTGCACGTTCACGTCAATCGTTATCAGTTTCGCTCGTTGTTTTTATCCGCTGGTTCCCACTCGTCTCTGCCGTACTTTGTTGACAACCTTCATTCTACACCGCAACGAATACTGACACAGCCATTGTTCATACTCGAGACGGTCAGCATCGGAACAGCGCCGCCTGGTTGTCAAAAAATCTAAGATTGCTAAGGGGCAAGTCCCGCCAGTGATGAGAGGGGCCTGGTTGAGCACGGCTGTTCACCTAGAAATTCCAGTTCAGCCAGCAAAGGGCGTCAACAGATAGAAAAAAAATTGTTCATTGATTTTCTCAATATCTTCGCGCACGCTTTAAGAGATGTGGGCCCAGATCCCCCTGACATCCCCATGGAACGTTCAGGTCTTCTTGCTAAAACAGAGATCAATAGTCATTTTGGCAACCAACGCCAGTTAGCCCCTATGACCAGTAGGACCACCGAAGCCATTACAGTCACGATCAGGCTGACAAGGCCGCAGCGATGTTCGGCGGGTGTGGGCGATGGTGGCGGCGCCGGTTCATCCATTGATTTACGATTGAAAGTCATTAAGGACATCCCATGGCCACCGCAGTGGTCTCGGTGATATTAAGAGTACGGGGTAATTCGAGGTGGATAATCAGGAGAATCCACTATGGAAAATGGCGAAAGGCCATAGAAGGGCAGGAAAACGCTACCGAATATACTAATCACGCTGTTTTCCCTTAGCTTGATAGGCCGATGGTGATCAGCGAGGCTAAGCGGCCAACATAGAGAACGAAGAACAAATAAAGGAACAACTACGCCATTTCTACTTCATACTTAGGTTTGTGCGCAACATTTTATAATTTGCGCCCTTACTGATACGAAGCACTGATGTTGGCTCCGGTTGCGTACATCCGAAGGATATTGTTAAGGGTTAGACTTTACTGATGCGGCAAGAATGTCCGATGGGAAAAGTCACCCAAGCAAACGTAGTTCGAAGACAGTTTCAGGGATTTCTAGTAAATTAATTATTCTATCGATGGAAGTGTATTGACAGGTCACCGAAGCGAACTTTTCTTTCTAGTAGAGTTTATAGACTGTATACAGTGAAGGCTGATGTAGAAGACAAGCGAAGACTCTATTTTATCGTACGCATTTTAAGGATAACTAGTATTTATCGATAAGAACAAATTATATTTCGTTTGACATGTTGCAGTTAAGAAGTTTGCACTCAAATGATAACTTACTTACGGTTCGATGGCTGCTTTTTAGAAAGTCTACCAGATTGGTTCCATTCCGTAAGCAGTGATAAATTAGAAGTAATAATCATTATTATCGCATTGTGCTTGTCGGCTAATAGAGAAAAGCCGCCAGTGCTATTGCTTTTTCTGCCGGCAACATTACGAGTCATTTAGTTAATGTGACGTGGCATCTATGCCATGCTTTTCGCATCAGTATAATGATTTTTTGATGATAAAAATTTCGCTCCGGGAGCCGTCTCTAGCCTATTAAAAGATGTCCTAGAAATGTTAGGTTGTATCAATTGAAACAGCAACGCTGGATAGAGGTATGAATTTAAAGGTAATTTATTGTTTCAAAATATTCTATTTGTGTAATAGTTCTATTAGGCTATGTGTTCCTAGCGAAATTTCAAAGTCCTGATCTACTTCAATCAGAGGCCATACAAACTACCTCATCTGAAGATCGTCAGTGTGAGTTTGACGGCTAATGCTGTCATAGGGATTTTTCATTATTTTTCGTCGCCGTCGTCATCATCATTTGTGATATCTGGTTGCGCGCCCGACCGCTACTATTTCCTTATCAGAACGCTACTTGACGACCATTGCTATTATAATAAAAATATTATTAGTATTATTTCTATTATTTGATTTATTGAAATACAGGACTGGGGCAGACATGTTTGGAAACAACTTTTCAGACGCCGAATCTCAAACAGTCCTTTCGACTCCTGACTTTTGTTTTCTCTTGCTGCGACATTATCAAAATAACACGTCATCGTCAGCAGTCTCTTTCTTTGGTTGGAAAATAATTTGTGAAATTATTTTTCTTCCAGCCATATTTCCAGTCATCTATTTCTAGCGGTGCATTTGCAAGAGGGGTTGGCCATAATTCCCCCTTTTGTCGATTGTGGTCCAATATAGGTTGACTTTTCTTATAATAACAACAGAGAGACGGCTTTTTAAAATGGCTAACATTAGGTCTTCAAATGACAAGCCTTGCCAAGAATACAACGGATTCGCGAATTTCTGTAACGGATAAAGCACGGTGGACTATATATAAATGAATTCCGCCTCGCTGATAACAATGGAAAAACGGATATGTTTGTGATATTTGTAAACAATTTGTAAAGACACGATTTCTGCTATTGCTAATCTAGCCTGAAGAAGACCATCGGGAATTCAGGCTGGTAGAGACTCTGATTAAGATTCGCAGGAACACATTGAAGCCGAAAAGATTTCGCACTCAGGGACCTGTTAAAACCAGGTTTCCCTTATTAAAAAGACCAACCGTGCAACAAAGCTCTACTTGCATATAATATGCTTCTCCTTTTCTATTATTACTACCAATCAGCTAATCTCTGGTTAATATTAACTGACGTCCCTTCGCTGCAATCTACATGCAAACAATAATCTATGATGACGCATGTCCGAAAGCCCTCTCTACAAAATCGGCGCCCTCAACGATTGTAGCAACGTACGTAGTGGCGAAGTTAGCAATTTCCAGTTCAAGCATTTGACTTGAACAGATTTCAGCATGGAACTATAGAGACCCTTCCGAAGGCGCTGACTTGTCATGCGTTCAATATGATCGTGTGACAGCGTGCGGATTGCCGCAGATGTTACCGGAAAACGGCAGCTTTGCAAGAAACGTTCTGCTTTCGAGTGAAGAAGCCGGAATGGACTGGAACCATAATTGATGAACAGTGGATATCAAGCCGAATCGTCAGGCTGGGCAAGAGCGGTACTGCTTCTAAAAGGCTGCGTCTATATCTGAACCAGCTACAGACGGAGGCTAGCTATCAATCAGGCCATTTGCTTGACGAGATTAGCCGAGATATCACTGTCCGCTAACGCTTGATTTGAAGCCACTTGCAGATGATGGGCCTTTGTTCGTTATGTGTGTCTGTCTGTCTCTCTGACTAGTAGCTGCGCCTCCGTCGTCGACTTAGTAGAGAACGTGATCGTCTGCGGATCTGTGTTTGGTAGCGTGTGTGCGCGGCATCTGAGGATTGGCAGGAGAACTGATCTCTGCCCAACAAACGAAGGGCAATCATTTTCGACTCAGAGCCTTCAACTCTCGTTGGCTTCCTACACAACCCCTTCATTTTCGTAGGGCCTATACGTTCCTGTGGCGCGCGCTCTTTTAACCGATCCTTTTTTTTTCTGTACTCCCCCTTCTGAACAAAGTACTATATTGCTTTTCTTCTCATATGAGTCTGTATGTGTGCTATGCCGCTTCCATTTCGAGGCGGACCCAGTTCCTGGTTGTTCTCTTCTCCTTTCAAAAGCATGAGCCAGGATAAGTGGAGTACTCCAATGGAGAAGCAATTACGGAGCTAGGGCGAATGAGCCAAGCGGGGTCTTCAGGGTATCTAGCATCATTTCGGCGTTCCGTTGGCCGGCGCGGACATTTCAAGTTCGTTAGCCTGTTCTTCCCGGATGTAAGCTCGCGATCGTCCTTGCTTTGCTCTTTCTCCTTTTCTCTTTGTACAGTATATTCGACCAATGCCCCGCGTGATGATGATGATGATAAACAAAAAGATAGCAAGGACAAAAATGATCACAACAAAAACGACGAAACCTATGATAAATCGACGGAGAATGCCTTTCAGAACCACATGTGATATAAGCCGTTTCGAAGACTTGAAAGAGTAAGAGGGCACATTTTGGGCGTTTAGAAGGGTGAGCGTTAGGTCTAGCCTGATGGAGTCTACTGCAGAGTATCTAATCACAATATAGAGCTGCTTACATACGGCGCCATATGTTCAAGTAGTACACGTATCGCTACTACTAGAAATAGGAACGGTTCCTTACTACGATGGCAGAAGACTTAATGAAACGGCGCTGACTTGACATTACGCGCGCGACTCAGCGTTATGAATTCTCACTAATAGTTACTTTCGCCATAGTCTTCACAGAATATATTTGTACGACTAATTTGCCTTATACTAATAATCATCATCGTAAAAATCATTCTGAGTATTCAAAGTCTAGTTATGCTCGCCCACAATTTAACGTTTTTTTCTCCCGTCTGGTCAATTTCAGGATCTGCATACGGTGGATCTGGAGGAGTTTAAGTACGGACAAACAAAGATCACCGGCCTGCGGCTAGTGGACGTCGAATCGCCGGAACTGCAAAACTTCCTCGATGATTGGAAGCGGCTTGCACAGCAGCCGAAACATGTTCGGGCACCGCCTGCTCCCGGTCCGCACCTCATCAAAACAGAAACGGCACTCATGTACGACGCCGTTAAATTGTTTGCGATGGGCCTACAACAGCTCGACCTCACCAAGGCGGTCGACTTCCCTGTGATATCGTGCGATGCGGCTGAGTCCTCTTCAGACGGCAGCAGCCTTATCAATCTCATGCGACCGGTGAGTGCGCACATGGACCCCACATGTGCTTCGAGCGATTTTACTAACAACGTCGGCATACTATTTTGTGTATATATATATATATATATACATATATGTAATTGCAGGGATGATTTAATAATCAAGAATTGATGGCACTTAATAAAAAAAAACGCCTACTTGGGGAATGCGGGAAATAAGACTAATTCTCCGACTACGACTATAATGGGACCAGGACTGGGATACCAATATAGCAGTACTATGCATTACTACAAAAGCCAAAAGTATAAGTTATTCGCAGATATCGAAATAAGGGTGTTATTAATTATAGGTTGGTCTGAATAGAACCATACGTCATATCTGTTTTTACATAAATCAGTCTAGTGATTTTATAACCAGTGATTCTCAATGAACAGCCTTAAAGTATGACAATCAACGCCTGCGTTCATGCTGAAAAGATTTACGCATATTTAAAGCTACAATCAGATGAATGTTGTTCTATGCCGTCAGGCATATTGCAGCGTGAGGGCTGCCATTAAACTTACGTTTGTTTAAGGCTTTTGGGGTGCCATAAACATCTTTTCGTTAAATGAAGTGCGCTAGTTGTGTGTCAGTGAAAGGCCTCACGGTAAGGGCCAGAGGAGGACAATATACTGAATGGCACAGGGGGCTTTGGATTCGACGGGCTTCACTGCTTCGTCGGAGGAGCTCGGCTTTCGCAACCGTCCTTTACCTTCTCTCACGCCTACCTTACCGAATCCCAACTCCTTTTCCTGCACCTGTACCGGCCTCCATCACGGTATCTACCCAACGAAGCACATCTGTCAAGGAAGATGATTTACGGCGTGTCACTATCTGAGCAAGCATCTAACCCCCTTTTGCTGGTCGTCGTTTCCAGTTAACATGGGTCAGGTTACCAATCTTGAGTTATTACGTACAGCCGCAGTAGCGCCGCCACCGCTCAAGCTTTGCGCGGCAGCGTCGTCCTAGCGTATGTCGACGCCAACAGTGCTCAGTGCCTAAATTAGGCCACCATGACAAAAAGCAAGAACTCCGGGCCTCAGGCCGTGGACAGTGTGGCCGACTGATTCGGGCCGCAAAAAGAGGAGGTGGAGTAAGGATAAGAGCAACGAAGAAGAAAGAAAGGCTGATTGAAAGTTTAAGCCATCCACGCCATCTTTCGGCCATCTGAAGCCTTTTGCACTGTTCTGACTTGCCCCAGTCAGGTCGCGTGTTTCGGTCTTTGGAGTAGCACACAGATCTGACCTAAGGCCCCCTCATCGGGAACCAACGAAGGGGACCAGCTAGGGCTGCTCCTTGCAGCCGTCGCCAACCGTTCGTTCAGTCGTTTTCTTCTTCCAATCACGGCGTGATCTCGGCTCTTCTCTGGCGGCAGCCTAATTTAATTCGCTTGCTTCAGCTGGTCAACGAAAAGTGTTCCAGCCACAAACAACTGACGAGTTAATCTTGTGAGTCTCCATACCGCGCGAGTAATTCCTACGAGATAGAAGGAGGATAACGTGGGGTTCAGCAGTTGGGTATAATAGGATAGAGCAAGTCCTTGGGTAAAAGTAGGACGAGACAAGGTGAGCCAAAGCAAAAACCAAGAAGTGTTAGGGTCAAACCGCCAGCGGTGTTACTGCGGCTACCGCTGTCGGGCAGCCTGTCACCACGAACAATACGGCGAACATCAATGGACGACGAACTCGGTGCGTCGCTTTCTCGCCAGTCACACGTATGAACGGGAAATCTGACTGACTCATTGGGACCCAAGCGGATTTAGTCCTGAGAGGGCTCCAACTCTGGTGAGCCCCATCAGACCAATACCGGCTGGCAGACCGCTGTTATAACCCAAGGAAAACTCGCGTGGCATGAGTAACAATGGCAATCGTATTATGATACTTCTAACATAATTGCAGTCGATCGACGACTAAACGAAACGTCTCAACTTCCAAGTTTCTCAATTTTGTTATTATCATTATTATTGATACATATTTTGAAATGTCTTGATTATTGCCGAATTCATTTTGCTTAGCTTTTTAACATGGAATACGATATATATATATATATATATATATATCAGTGCCTAATAATAGGCGTTAGACAAGCAGATAGTGGCGTATAATTATTTCTCTTTATTGTACGTTAGTTTAGACGATACACGTAAGTATCGTCTGTGGACACTGAACTCTCTTTCATTACTGTATACACATAATTTTATTTGCGCAGTACATAAAGAATTAGACATGATCGTCAGAAAAATGCATGTTTACAGTAGGAATATTATGGCGTGCAGGAGACCGACGACCAAAGCATTAACTATGTCTGTCTCCTGACTTAGCACCATCTCGCTTAGACCCGCGTGGTTTATTGCATTGCAAGTCTTAGCGGCGGTATCAAATGTAAGAGCGTCAGTAATAGCGTTTCCCAGCAGCGCTCATAGAAGAGAAAGTCTGTTTGATTCCTTCGTCGCGGGTCTAACTTCGGTGTTTCGTGTTGAACTGGAACGATGCTGCATTCTGCCAGATTCTGTCGGCAGGTAGAGAGAAAATAGGAAGGGACGGGATTCGACACTAAGTGCGAGTACGCGAACGAAACAGTGGAAGAAAAGAGTCGAAGGACGCACATGGGAAAATAGGGAACCCGGCTAGGACAACTTCACGGAAGGGAAGTAAAACCCTGTGTTGTCTGAACCTCGATCGTCTCGCCTCGAGGGAGCTTCCATATGGAACTGGATCCTAACGGCAGCCATAGCAACAGCACCCACCAAGGGACAGCAGCACAAGCAAAGGGCAGACGAACTACGAGCAAGCAGTTGGATGGTGAAGGTTGGCGCGTTGCAGAACCCGTTTCGTGTTTGCTGCCTCTGCGGCTTCTGGCGCTCATTGGCTGGCGTTGTTGTTGCACGTCGAAACCATCACCGCGGCGGCTACTGCCGCTGCCACCTCGACTTCAGAGGTCACGCTGCACAGAACCGTCCAGTTGCCACCGGTCGGTCGAATGGACGCCGACAAAAGGAGTGAACGGCTGGAACGCAGTCAGCAAAAAAAATGAAAAGAGAGGCTAAAACGAACAGAGGAGAAGACAGGAAACCACCAGTCAGCAGCGCTACTGAATTAGTTACTAGTTAGCATTCGAAACTAACAGAACTTCGGAAACTGGCATCGCAGCAGTGGGCTGGCCGTACTTGGAAGGGTACGCTGACGATGGTTAGAAACGAGAGAAATGCAGGAAAGAGAGAAGAAAAATGCAAGGGTACGGTCTCGGCGAAGGCAGGCCGTCGCAAGCAACGACAAAGCAGCAAACGACGACGATTACGGAACTGCAGTGGCACCGTCATCGGTGCCGCAGCGACTGTGGCAGACAGACAGGCAGCCGTCAGACAGACACATGCAAGCCTCTTAGAAGAGTTCAATGGACAGGGAGGGAAAGGATTGAAAATGAGGAAATGGAAGAAGAAAAGACACTCAACGCGTGGGAGAGCAATCAAAAGTGTTAGGCTGGACTGCTAATTCTGCCAGAAGAAGAAATGTGGGTGCACGTAAGGGACAGTAGCGCATAAGGAGCAGCGACGGAGCAGGCTATGATGAAATGGACACGGGAAAGCTAAGTGAGGACAGCGACCAACAAGAAAAATGAAAGTCGTCCGGAAGGGTAAAACGGATAGATACAAAGAACCTAGCACCGCAAGTCAGAGAGTCGCAGGACAACGGACGGGTTCGCACAGAACAGTCGAAAAGGGGGGATAGCAATGTCGTACCTTTTGATGTACCGGCTGCAATTCTTGAACTAGCTTAGGCAGCCGCTTTTCTTTACTTGACTCTAGTTTTGCCCCTATATATTTCGGTGATCTTCTTGTTCGCTCCTTACGCTTTTCATACGAGCTGAATTTTTACTTTTTTTTTTATTGCACGTTTGTTGTCTCATTAATACAAACAATTCAAATCTAAAAGAAGACCTAGGCCGCTGGAACAACAACAATGGTGACAAGGGCCGGTATTTTCGTTGACGTAATATCTTTACAATGATGGACGAAAATCACATTGTAAGATGCGTAGTCTGAATTGTCGTGGACGATCATCTATAGCCCTGCCTCGTCCCTTTTTTGGCAGTCGTAGCAGACAGCGCGCGAGCCTGCTCTGTTTGCCTCTTGCTCAAGGAGACACTGAGTATGAAGGTGCTGGGTTCTGCCTCGTACTCGCGTAGCGACGGCTAGCCGACACAGGCCGTTTGAAGCAGGCCTTGTTCGTGAAGCAGATCTTGCCTTGCAGCCGATGCAACACCAGCAATATTTTAGATTGAGCAGGCATCACCCAGTATAACGTAGTAGCGTCGATCATGCAATGCCACATCGATGGGCGAGACACGAAGGCAGCATCAGAGACGTCGAAGGGCTAGATGGCTATCAATTCCAAGCAGCCGCCTAACAGAGGAACGGTCAATTTTCAAAATGGAAAAGTCTTGACTTTGTTTCCATCTTTGAGTTCCTCTTTCGCTGCCTTCGGTCGCGTTTCATCCTTTTCCCAAAGCAGTGACTTAGAATAGTTAGCGTACTAGCTCTATATAGGCTGGTCATGGTATGGTATCGTATGCATCTTATAAGTATTAAAAAATTATTAGAACGTTTTTTCAGCTGCATCGAAGCAACACGCTGAAAAGAAAGACTGTTATATAAGCACAATTCAACTACAGTGCTATCCGACGAACGTATGACTATTTTCCTAGAAAATGCTTTGCCAGAGATTTCTTACGGTATCTGTATAGCAAGGTGTTAATATTGGTCTTTCGGTTAAAGAAAATATCTCACAGGATGAATCCGATTCGTGGAATACATGAAGTTGATGTGCGGGTACCCACTTTCCATCCTAAATATTTCGGTTCAATAGTCCAAAAATGAAAATGAGTAGATTTGCCTGCCGTCTTGACGCCGGCATACGTCAATAAAACGGCTGTTTGTGTATACGTATTTATCTCACTAGATAGCACAGATTGCTTCAGTTGCTGGCTGTCGATCTAGAAGC